AAGAGTTAGAAATGACAGGTTTTAACAAATAAGGATTGTGACACGATAAATGAGATATAATGCTAAGAAAAAAATTATAGACTTATTTAAGATACATGGACAAAAAGATCACAAAAATAAAGATTTAGATATCTTTGATCTAATATTTAACAAAAAAGAGAGATTGATGTAGATATTATTTATGGAGTATGGACTAAAAGTGCGATGGATAAAGTGAGGAGAGGCATTGAGGGTTTTTGTTTTATTGTTGTGTATCATAAAAGAAAATTTATATGTGATATTACGAGGCCAGCCACATCTCGTGGATCAAGATGTTGAGGAATTACAATATAACATACAAAAAAGTTAATGCCACCAAGATGAAAATGTTGGGATGGATGTGAAGAATTATGTAGAAAAGATTAAAAGTAAGAAGTTCAAAAATAACATCCTATTCAGACAATAAGTATGTGTCTTTTCTTTATCTTTTTCACCCATGTGATAATGAAGGCAATAGCGGCAACAATTCTTAAGACAAAGGTGGTGGCACCAATCAGAATGGTGCTCTACCATAATGGTGGCAGATGTGGACTGCATGTCATAGTGCTATTAGTAGATATCATGGACTACATATCATCTATAACTTCAATGTTGTAACCTATCACAAGGATTGTGATGGTACATAGTATCAAGGTTCGCCGTACTGTACCGTACCGGGGTTTCGACTCGGGCTCGATACGGTACGGTACCGGTGTATTGGGCGGTATATCAGGGCGTATCGAGTGGTACACCCTGATGTACCGAACAATTTAATATTTTTTTTTCATACTGTAGCACTACTACAGTATAGTACTGTAGCACTGTAGCAGTACCCGGCGGTCCGCGTACCGGTAACCTGTCGGACCGGTACGTACCGCCCGATACGGGCGGTATGCTTCGGTGTGACAGACCTTGCATAGTATCATTGTACTTAAATGAATCAGCACCCTGCCCTCCAGATGCTTTGTCGATAAAATCCAGATATTCATAGTACAAGGAAGAAAACATGCTTTATGTAAAGCATGTCCTATCTTGCCATGGGTCTTTAGGTGTGATAGTTAGGTACAGTAAGAGCACCTTTCTCCTTGGTTAATCTCTCTTGAGCATTGGGTTTACTTTGGTGATGTTTTGGGTGATGTTGTCTTTATGTATATTTATACATACGCATGTACTTGAGAACTATATGCAATTCATCATTTGAAGTACATGAACTGAAAATATAGATACATCTGACGCTGACATGAGAAACATCATCTGTCTTTTAAACTGTCAAAATGTAATGATTTTAATTATCCAATGAAATGGAGAGATTGTTGAAGATATTGTTCATAGAGTAAAAACAAAATGATTAAAATGGGGCATTAGGAGTTTTGTATAAGCATTAGTTATATTTGTTGGATAAGAAGTTTATGTTGTTGAGATGAATGTTAAAGTGGATGTATGAAGTTTACAGGATATTTCGTGAACAATTAGGTGTCTATTCGATAGAGGATAAAATAAGAAAGAATGGCTTAAGATGATATGAATATGCTATAGAGATCATATTGTAGAAAAGATAAAATGATTACTATTAGTGGTACAACAAATGAAGGGAGACATGAAAATTTTTTAATAAAAATTATAAATAAAATATTTAAATATTTTTAATGGTTCTTTACAAGATCTCAAGGACAGCAAAAGATTCATGTAACCGATCTCAAATAGTTAAACTTTACAATTTTATTGTTGTTATGGATGTTATTGTTGTAGAAACCAAGGTATGTAATTTTGAATAATACTGCCCGGTACGGGCGGTACGTACCAGTCCGTTGACCGATACACGGATCGCCCCTTACCGGACGGAACGAACTATATATATATATATATATATATAAACGAGGTGACGTTGCGTCGTCGAGGCGATGCGACGTCGCCTTTTATAAAAAAAATATATAAATATATATAATCTTTTATATATAAATATATATTTATTATTATATATATATATAAACGAGGCGACGTCGCCCCGCTGGAGAGAAGAGAGAGGCACGTCGTCGAGGCGACGCGACGTCACCTTTTATAAAAAAAAAAAATATATATATATAAATATATAATCTTTTATATATAAATAAATAAATAAATAAATAAATAAATAAATAAATAAATAAATATATATATATATATATGAGGCGACGTCGCCCTGCCTGAGAGAAGAGAGAGGCGATGTTGCTTCGACGACGTCGTCGAATTATATATATATATATACACCAAGTGGTATATCGAACGGTATACCGCTCGATATACAATATCGTATCGTATCGAGCGAACATCGAAACTCCGGTATGGTATGATATTGCATACCTTGGTATAAACTAAAGATGATAATTCTTAAGCAACTTAAACTATGAGTTCCAAATCTTAACATGATACAACGTGAAATTTATAATAGAAACCGATAAGATGAGTGCTTTGTACAATTGTTCCTTTGTCCAAAGTCCCATAGATCATACAAAAGCTTATGTAAAAAGAACTATACAATTATGTAGGTGATTTTTAAGCATAATAATATTTACATATGCTTAATGAGAAATTAAATGTTCCAAGAGGTTAGTTGGAATCAACAGTTTAACTAGGTGCCCGGGTGCTCGCCTAGGCGCTTGGGCAAGGCGAGGCTTGAACACCTTAAGGGTGGACCAAGCAGCATGCTTCAATGAGGCGCCGCTTGGATGCTTGCCTGAACTCATGCATCGGGCACCTCGGGTAAGCGCTCGGCTCAAATGAAGCAATTGAACTAGTTTGGTTCGGTTCAATAGTGGTTAGTTGGTTCAATCGAACCAACTAACCAATTTCTTACTCACAAAAGCCACCCCCAGATGCTCGTACTGCCCCGAGCCATCAACCCTAGCGTTGGTTTTGCCTCCGCTGTTGACACTTTCTGTCGCTGTCTTCGTCACAGACGCAACAAACCAAGGCTTCCTCTGTCGTCGACAGATAGGTCCGACGACCTAGCCTTCGTTTGTAGCTTCCTTTCTCCACCACTGCTTTTGTGTGCAGTTCTTTCCACCGTTGAGGGAGAGGACCGTAGCTTCCTTCGCCATCGATAGACACTTTTGAAGCTTCCTTCGCCCACGACGTTGTCGTCCGCAACTTTCGCCACTAACATCGTTGTCGCTGTTGCTTGTTAGGACTCTAGCTAGGAGAGTCCTAATTGAGAGGGACATTCATGTAAAACTTACCTAAGCCGACCCCTATTAAAGAGGTGAAGAGGCCGGCTAGGGTTAGGAGGTTGTTTCTTAGAGAAGAATTAGGAGTTGTAAAAGAATAAAAGTCTTGAGTAGGAGTCCTATTAGGAGTTAGAGTTTAGAAGCCCTATAAATAGCCATGTATTCCTCTTTTCATAAGCAATAGATGAATCTTTTCTGCAGCCTTTGAGTAGCAACTTGAAGGGAGGAACCCCTATAGAGTTCCAAGGAGGCCGATCCCCTAAAGAGATCAACCCCAAGTTTAGAATCTGCAAGGGTTCTAACACCTGGTATCAGAGCAGCGTTCTTGGCGTCTCGCTACCCTTCCACAGGCATCCATCAGCCCTCCATAGCCGCTCAAAGTAATTCCCATAATTACTTAAAAGATCGTCGTCAAATTCCGCCGTCATCTCCACCATCGCAGATCATCCTTTGATCTCCTCGTGAATTGCAATAGGTTCTGGTTTCCTACCTTACTGCTGTTGCAATTTAGTTATCCTTATTCGAAAATAAAAAAAAATTGTTCCAAAATTGCTGTATAAACTTTTCGTCGCAAAGTTTTCATCTCTACGACGAAAGATACATTGCAGAATTCCAGTCGCATAGCACAGTCTGTTTGATCTTGCTACTGCATTTTTTCTATCCAAATCTCTACGAAATTTTTATGACAGCTTTGACACTTCCTAACAGTAGATTTCCCTTTGGTTTTGTTAAAAAATTCTTAATATAAACCATTGATCTTTTACGTATAAACTGCTATACTTGAAAATCTACACTATAAAATTTCAGCCGCATAGCACAGATTGTTTGATCTTGCTACTATGTTTTTTCTAACCAAACCTCTACGAAATTTTTATGACAGCTGTAATACTTCCTAACAGCAGATTTCTCTTTGGTTTTGTCAAAAAATTCTTAATATAAACCATTGATCTTTTACGTCTAATCTGTTATACTTGAAAATCTGCACTGTAAAATTCCAACCGCATAACATAGTTTGTTTGATCTTGCTACTTTGTTTTTTCTGTCCAAATCTCTATGAAATTTTTATGATAGCTTTGACACTTTCTAACAGTGGATTTCCCTTTGGTTTCGTCGAAAAATTCTTAATATAAATCACTGATCTTTTACGTCCAATCTGCTACACTTGAAAATTTGTGATGCAGAAAATTTCAGCCGCATATTGTTGCCTTAACCCATCTATTTGCAATCTTTTTTGAATGAAATTTCTTATACACTTCATAGATCATCTTGACTTCCATCTAAGATTGATCTATTGAGGAATTCATCTCTAAAAACGAATTTGTGTAGCTACAAATTTTTGTCGTAAATCGCTGAAATTTTTCGACGAGAATTCTGCTATCACAACTTGCATCAATTTCCTTGTTGTTATACTACCGAAATTTTCTTGATTAAATTGGACATCCTTGCTGTCATATAAACTAAGATTTTACTGTCAATTCCCTCCTTAAATTTCTTAAG